TTAATATAAAAAAAGAATAACTTTGAAAATTAATACTAATTAAAAGTTTATTTTATATAATATATAAAATACTGTATTTAGAATAATAATCTTTATATATTTAACATTGATGATTATTATGCCATTCATTCTATGCATCGACCTGTTACTTCAATCACCATTGATGATAAACATTTTGCATCTTGTCTTTTGAAATTAGTTGACAATTGTGTACCAATTCCAACTATTTATCAAAATATATCAATCCAAATCCAAAAAATATTGTTGCTGATAATTATTGTTGGTATTTAGAAACATATTATAGTAGAATTTTTGATACAAGCTATAATATTAGAAAAAATCAGTGGATTATACAAAAATCAATAAATCAAAATCAATTTAATTATATTGATCAACTTACTATTTATATACACTACCCTATTAAAAGTCAAGCTCTTTTTGATTTACTCATGATCTAATATAATAATATGCATATATTTTTATTTTAAATGAATGTCATAGTTCTGACGATTAAAATAAATATATTATATTGTATTACAATAAATACATCAGATTTGGCAATAAAAATAAACAAAACATTCAATTTTATTGTTGTCGATCTTTATTTTTTTTGGTTTACTGCACCATTTAAAATGGGAAAAACTCATGAATTGAGTGAGTTTGAATGCGAATAAGTTATTGGTCTTTAGAAAGGAGGAAGAACTCATAAAGCTATTGGTCGTGTTCTTAAAATTCCAAAGAGCACTGTTACCAATACAATTTTTCAATTCAAAAATTTTAATACTGGATTAACAGCGAAAAGGACAGGAAGATCATGCTTCATGAATAACAATGATCATCATAAACTTTTAAAGATTATTAAAAAAAGTAATTGACTTTCTCTTGATGAAATGCAGCAAAAATTTAGTATCATTTTTATTAGTTGATCAGATACTTTTAATAGGGTAATGTATATAAGCCTTTTTAAGCAAAACTTTATTATAATACATGAATATATTAGAAGCAATGAAACAGACATTCATAATACAGATTCTATTTATGGAGGAAGTATATTATTTCTTATACTGTGCAGGAGAACCTCTCTTTATACCTTCAATATCTTTTAATAAAACAATAATTATTAGACCTTTATTGCAAAACATTTTTGCTTAAATGTAAAGATTATACATAACTATATGTGCTTGCCTATGATTTTTTGGTTTTATCAAGAAATTCTCAGAACTTAGTGTTGGTGGGAATATTTTGGCGATGAAGCACCCAAATTATTATCTATTTACATTCATCTCACCATTGGCAAAAAGAGACTTGAACAATCGCTTTTTGATGACTGTGTCATGAATATAAGAAAAACACTGTGTTAAATTCCATGAATCAAGAGTATAGATCAGAAAGCCACACCATATCCTTGTTTAACATATATAACTAATCTTAATTCAGGAAAGATTAATTTTCCACCTTTAAATGTCCCAAGAGGGCACACTACACAAAGTGTATTACGATGGTCTTTTAAATCATGATGGAATTGGCAGATGGCATTAAAATTAATTGAAACTGTTGGAAAAGCTCCAAAGGGTTTTGAAACATTAGGCCCAAGATCGAGAGTTTTCATCTTAGCATATAGACAGGGATATGTATTATTAAAATAATTATTAATCACATTTAAAATAGGCTGAAGTCCTTTGATTAACTTTTGAACACATTCCAAATGTTCTTGACAATGGCTAGATGTAGTATTGGCTGAAGTAAACGGTTCAATATTGCTATCAGTAAAACTGCCAAAATGTTCCACCAGATCCTTTGTGAAATTTTTAGATTGGTGGGAAGGATTGGTATAAGTGTGATTATAATATTGATTTACTCCCATTTGTGTTTCTTTTACAGCTACGGGATTGTTAAAATCAAAAAAATCCACCAGGGTTTCTCCAAATGCATTTTTAAAACATTGTGGGTTAAAGATGTGAACGTAGCCTTTAAGATCAATCCCATGTGCTACCCTTTTTGTTATTTGCTCTGTAATATATAGTTTGTCCTGCAGATTAAGCTGTAATATTTTACAAATATTTTGCTTTTCAAATGGATCGTTTTGATCATTTAAATATTGATATGCATGCTTAATTTTAAACCAAAGATGGCAACAATGATCCTAAAACAGCTTTCTAAAATTCAGTCCTATGAAAAAATACGCCTAATATGCAAAATCTTCCTATAGTTTTTTTCGTGTTGATCTAATATTCATAGAATTAGCTTCGCTACTAAGGCTAAAAACCTCTGATTCTAACAGACCCATAAAATCAGTAGGAATTAAAGAAGTAGTTAGGATCGATTGAATACTTTGTGGTGGTAACGGTTTTTGACTAACACTATTTTTATATAATTCGTTATGAATAGCTTCTGAAAGTATATCCAGTTGGGTATTAGAAAGCTCATTGAATTTGAGAGTAAAAGTATTTGTTTTTACAGCGTCTAGCAGAATTAATCAACTTTTTAACGATCTTTCTTTGCAACCTTGTCTCGTGAAACTTATCTAGAAATGTAATTTTAGGGTCTATAATTGAAGATGGATACCATAATTAAGAAGTTGCAACTTAGTTGCAACTCCTTGTAAATTTATTTTAATATAAAAATTCATAAATAGTTATAACTCAAAATGTTGCAAACTTAAGTTGCAACTAGTTAAAAATTTTAAAAATAATTATAGGAACCATCTTTATCTATAATACTAGTAGGTTGAGAGATATTAACTGATTTAAGATCATTTGATAAGAAATCCTCAGACATCTATGAGAAATCAATATATTCACCTGATTGCTCCTTTATAGATAGACGTATCTTTTTTAGGTTTTGTGCTAAAAAAAATATCACTTAGCCTAAGGCACTAAAGCATAAAAATTTCTGGTAGATATAATCATCAAACTTTACAATGTAGCTTGGTGGTTTTTAAAACTGCGAGAAGTCTTCGTGATCTTTCTCTCCTTATATACCATTACTTAGAAAGATGAAGATTACACTAAGAAAACTGAATAAATAGAGCTTTGCAAGGGAGGGTTCAATCGACCCCTAGACCTGCCTCAAAAGGCTTTGACTGCCACCTATACTTCAAGCTCTGCTATATGTAGAACCCCAAATATATATCTCATCAGATAAAAATATCTTTACTTACTTTATTTGGATCATAGAAAATTTCAACTCCATTATTGTGGCTAAGTTCGACTTGGTTGTCTTTGTCATTAATAGTATTGGCAGTTTTTTTTTTTCTATAATATGATTAACTTGTTTTCCTAGCTTCGTTTTTTGGCGTATCGGGACAATTTTTTACACAAGTTACTTTTTGGTGCCTTTGTAGTAGTTAGTTATAAATGCAAGTGAAAAGAGGTCAGCTTCTTTATTTTACTGTATTGTGATTGACTTTTTTTCACTAACCTATCATTGATTTGTGACAAAATAACGGGTATATATTACTAATAGGCAATTAGTGTTCCAAAATTTTCAGATCAAATCTAATCTGGAGAGTGATCTTTATAGTAAAATGGTTTTAGAACCTTTATCCTGAGCTAGATCAGTTCAGATTTGATAGAACAATATAGGTAATGTTGGTAAAAATTGCGAGAATACTTAAGTCTAGAAGTCTTAGCTCTATCGCTCTTATATGTTTGGGATAAAAAATAGTTAGCAAAGCTAACCAGAAGATGTAAAAGGACTACTTGTTATAAAAGCTCTAGAGCTGATATCCTATCAGAAGAATAGTATAAACTTTTTTTTTCAAGGGATTTGAACGAGCTGTTGGAATTTTTATTAAAAAATTTGGCTAAATGCCTAGATATGTGAGAAGTGCTCTATTGTACAAATCTGTCATGTGATCCATTTATTTATAACAATCGGGATAGTATTGGGATTTATGCAATTAATCACTTTTGCTAAGCCACAAATTATATAATCCTATTCTCTGAAGAAAATCACGTGCGCATTACAATTTGTAATGCTGATCACTTTTTGCTAGTGAGCGTTAATACATTATCATATTTTTTGCGATACAGATAATAAATTTTTTATTAATTCATTTTGCAATTGCTTATCTTCCAATTCTGCAACTCTAGCCTTGAACTCAACATTCTCAGCCTTAATTTTAACCTCAAGCTTGGCAATGTATTGTTTCAATGAATTGGTCAATCTGGAATTATCTATTTCAGATTGCATGCTTGCGTAATATAGTATTAGTATATTAATATTCAAAAATAAAAATTCTCGTAATTTGACTGAGACGCTCCGGCTGAAATTTGCCAAAAATTTATTATCTGACGCATATCTACATGAACAAATATATAGACGAATATGTAGAAATAATTGGCCACCAAGGCACTTTATTGAAATAGTAATACAAATAACAATTAGATTATTTTTTTTCAAAGGTTAATAGACTTTCTTTTTTTCATTTTGGTGGTGATGATGATCTTGGTGAAGAAGATACTGTAGAGCTATTTTCTGTATTACTACTTAAACTAGTTGGAAGCTCATAATATAGAAGAGATATATTGACATGCAAGATATTCTATAATTATAAGTATATGTTAATTTTAAGCAAGTAAAATAAAAATTTGAATAAGAACTGTATTCTACATACTGTTATTATTAATAAAGTTTCAATGAATTTAAACACAGTATCCTATCTGTTGGTTGTATCAGAATTTTAACTGTACGTAAATTATAGAAATGATGTATCTTATCTACACCTCGAATGAGGATATTTAGATGCATCTCAGTTCCGGCAACTTGGATACCAATAATACCAAATTTATCTTTATCTGATTTGCATTCTTTATGGGCCAAATACATTCCATCGTTCGTCTCTCTCCAAGTTTTTACCTTATCATTTTCCTTTTTTTACTCGTCACAAATAATATGGGAACTTTCACCATAAATTAATTTATATACCTTTCATTACAACTAGCAATAAACATAACATCTAGTCATTTTCCAATTCCTCTTCAATCTTTGCTAACTATACTTTAACACTCAGCTGTAAAAATATAATCAGATTTCCCAATTAGAAGATCTTTAATAATGCTTGAATCATCAGAACTATCACATTAGTCATATATGTTTCTTCACTTTATGACTTAATCAACTTTGAGCCAGTGGTAGGATTTTTTCAAATATCTCTCCTATAAAAAATAATATTAAACACAATTTTTCGTCGAAAGAAATGGCAAATATGATTATTATGTTACATTAAGTCTCGTTACCGAAATACTCACAAGATATCAAGTATATCTAACGTAACTTTCCTAGTTTTTCATTAGATTCTTTCCAAATTTTATCATGTAAAAGTCTATTATTTGGGATATCTGTAATACTGTCTATAAAATTCAAAACGAAGAAATCACAATTATCTTTGACAAGATCAGAAGCAGTTACTTTTATACGCTCCGCTAGATCCTATGGAATCACAATATTAATATAATAAATACTCTTTGCTGAAAGTGGACTATGGCAATACAAAACACTATTTGCTAAATTACTTACCATAAAAAAGTTATATGCCTCTACTTCCAAAGTTCTCACTATTTCTGAATCCGCACAAATCACTTGACTAGCAAGTGGAACGCGTCATAATAAGTCTGAAGCACTTTTCTTCTTTAAATATTTACAGAAGTAAGGGATGTATAAAGCCTTGCTATTTTTAAGATTGGTTTTCAAGACACACAAGTTCATCTCGATTTCGTTCTTAGTAAGCGGTTCTTCTTGTTTTGATTTTTTGATATTCTGAAGACTACTTACACCTTCATATACATCATCAAACTAACGCAGAAGCCTTATATTAGTACTAATGTAATGCAGATCATGCATAGCATTTTTGGCTAATTTTTCTTTATATATACAGTATGAAGCATTTCACAATTTCATTAGATGATCATCTATGCAGATTATGTACTGAATTCTAGTTGTACATTTTATTAGATAGCACAAAAAATAAATTAATTCATTATTTTACAAAACGCCTTACAAAGTACCTGGCTAAATAATTATACATAAATATGAAATATACTACACTATTTTAGTAAAGAATCTAAATTTTGATGTATATACTCACAATTATTATTCAAGTCTGAAAAATCTATTATATTTAAATTTCTCTCAATAGTAGTATATCCAGATTTAAAATAGTTGATTTCTAGCACTTTTAACGAAGTTTACAACAATGTTATTATTTACTTTACTAATATAGTGATATTCAGAATTTGTTAGACATTTTAACAAATCTCCATAAGTAACGATTTTATAGCCTTGCTGATGCAATTTTATAAAAGCAATTATATATGCTACAGTATTTAGGCGATTATATAACTGGTATTTCTTCCATTCTGCCCAATCACTAGGATGATAATAATTATATTCTTTGTATCCTGAGATTTGTTTAGCTAGATATTCTTTAATATATTTTTGGGCAATATTTTCATTATATACTTTTTTAAAGCAGTTGACATTTTCATCGATATTTAAATCATATTCTTCTTAAGTCTGAGGATTTATTTTCCTTTCACAAGTTAAAAGTATACCTAAATATTTCTTTCTATCAGGAGCACTATTATTTCTCACTATATTCCAGACTCATTGTGCCAATGTTTCAGGATCTAACTTGAAAGCTCTCCAAGCCCATTGGATAGCAATTGCACTTTTAGTTATGCAAACTACATCTCTTTCATAATTTCTTCTATTTGTGTAACATTATAACCACTAAAGTCTTTTCTGAAGGTACTGTTTAAATAATACGAATTGAAGGATTGGCAGTCCTATCTTAGTTGGTAACAACTCAGACCCTATTGTAGGTTACACTGCAATAGACCCTAGTTCAGCCCCTAGCCAAGGCAGATCGTAATAAATTAATTTACGGGATTTACCGGTTCGATTCCGGGAATGAATTTCATAGGGTGCGTACAAACCATGTACGTCGAAGATCACAAATTTGTAGAATAAGATGACCTATTGATGGTTATTTACATGTTGGATGGTAGCTCCCACGGCATAAGCTGTGTAAGG